GTTGTAATTTTCTGTGCAAGGCGCATGTTTCCCGCCATCCGAGTCAAAGTTTCCGGACTGGATCCCAAAAGCTACTACATGCTCATGATGGACATAGTACCGCTGGACAACAAACGTTACAGGTGAGGACGATGATAAGCGTAAGACTCAAATCCAAGAACATGATCTAACAAAGTACTCACAGGATCCTTGATTGAACGATGCTACAATTAGAAATAAGAGAGATGGTAAGATCCTAGCAGCAGGACGCGTGTCATATGAACTTCGTAATAAACCACGCTCACCGTGGAGTCTCTGTGGCTCAGTGGTAGAGCATCGAAGCGCGGAATCCGAAGGTTTGAGGTTCGATTCCTCATGGGGACTCAGAATTTTTTCTTTGTCCCACGCTCGTGAAAAAACGAAAAAAACTTCTTTCTTTATGCTACAATTGTTCAAAGATTTCCCTCGTGACATTGCTTTTGGGTCCGTTGGTTTTCTGCGACATAGAAAATTACCTTACAAAGAAACTGTGTGACAATAATTCGCCACAATGGGCAAACATTATGGCGGTAAAGCTCACTAAAGGATGGTGTAGAATGAATTTCATTTACGAGGAGAAAATTGTCAACTTGAAAAGTTGAGGCTGAATTTTCGAGACGCAGTAACCTTCACGAAGCCTTTTTAATTTGTTCAAAGACAAATTGATCTAAGCACCATTTATCGCTGATATAAGCCGTGAGCAAACTTAACAGCAAAGCACACTACAACAGGAATGACACAAACAATATTTATCAGTAATTTTGTCGCGAGTTCCTTCATTGAGGGGTACGTTATATGATTCATTTAACTCACAGGTATGCATACCACAGTTCCAAATGGGTTGTGGCGGGAAATGCGGACGCGCCGATGCCAGGCCGGGTGTATATTCACCCGGATTCTCCCGCGCTTGGCGAGGAGTGGATGAGACAAGTAGTGTCATTTGATAAAGTCAAACTGACTAATAACGAGCTGGATCAACAAGGACATGTGAGTGGATTTATGCAGTTTGTCGGTACTGTCGCTGTATCATTTGATGATACTTTATTAAACTGTTCGGATCAGTGTTAAAATGGTGAACGGTTAAAAACGGAAACTCTTCCCGCCTGCGGACAACCGTTTGTGTGCTCACATAACAATAATTGTATTAGCTTTCATCAGGAGGAAAGAAGACCCTTAAAGTTCGAGTTTAAACTTAACAATGCCTTTCTCCCGTTATTTTAAGATCATACTTCACTCCATGCACAAATATCAACCAAGAATTCACATAATAAAGAAGAAAGATACCTCAGACACGGTTGCTGTGGACGTAGAGAAGCCGTCTTCCTTGAGGAAGACGTTCGTCTTTCCTGATACCGTTTTTACGACGGTTACCGCGTATCAGAATCAACAGGTACCGTATATCAAGCATTGTTCCCAACACCCATTAGTTTGTATAAAGCTTATGCAGTTTACCGAGTGTGGGTTTCGTGCTTTACGCCAGTCAATGATTAGTGTCTTCAAATTGGAAAGTAGTTTGATTCCCGCTGATGGCTTTGGCAGTGGCTATACCTTAAAATGGGACTTTTCGTACAGCTGATAGATACAAACAGCACAAATACAGCATTGACAGATAACATTCTCGGCAAAATTCTATCATTTACCAGTTTTTTTTCTTTTTTTGAGGCAATGCAAGCAATCGAGAATGCTATAATTTATAAATGTGTATTTGATTCTTGTTTTAATCATTTATTTCGGTCATGTCGTTTTCGCGAAAGCATTTTCATATTGTTTAGGAAAGTTAAACAATGTTTTTAGAACGATGTATTTTGTGGTGGTAGCACCAAAAAGGTGTCAAAATCCATCAGGGTGTAAATTTAACATCTACAACAACAACAACGTGTTTATCGCTTCATCGTTTTGGTCGATTTTCAAAGGCAACATTGGCTAAAATAAAATAGCAACGGCTGACGTCCCAAAGTAGGCTGTATTGAGTTTGTTAGTCCTCATTAGCTTTTGCTTCAAGCTCGAAGAGACCCATTTTAATCAAATATCCTTGTACACCACCAATTTGGAACTGAATAGAAATTGTCTGAAAATAAGATTTTAATGATTTTCTGAAGGATTATCTTAAAAAGCCCTGCTTTTTATTCTCCTGACGAACAAACAAAATCAGTTTCATCGGAAAGGCGATTTGATAGGTCAAAGACTTGAAAGTCCGCATTTGTCCCTATCGGTTTCGTCTCGTCAAAACTTCTGTTTTTCCCATTAGAAGGTTAATTCGTGTGTGTGGGCAGATGTTCTAAGAACAAGACTCCTTCATCGTTTGCCTTTGAGACGTACCGTGTTATTTCATTCATAACTTTGATTCTGGTTGCCAATCGCTTTCCTATATGTTATGATGTCTTTTTGCGATATTAGAGTGGTGGCATTATTAACCGTTGCTCTTGGGGCGACTATCAATAGTATTAAACGTGGTGAAAGCATCAAAACAACACTCCAGTAAAGACTTAAAGGGTGTTTTCCTTTGATCAGGCGCTAACAGTATGTTTTTATAATTCACTTTCGGTAAATATATCCCGGCTGGAGTAATTTCAATTCTCGTCCGGTCGCTTAAGCGTTGATTACTCCATCGATGTAACGATAATGCGCACGGCTCCTTTGATCTGGGGAAGTATTTTACATTAATTTTGTTAATGGCCTCAATTAGGACTTATTTTTCCTCTTGCCGCCGTATTTAAGAGACAATAGAAGTATTTTTATGATGTTGTTTGGTGAATAAACGACATGTTATTTGCTTAATTCACGAACCCTAAAACGACAATCATTTTTATACTCGATATTTTCCTAAAAACAGTCTTTTTCTCGAAGGCATCAAGAAGAAGCCGTTTGAATTAAAAATACTAATTTCTCACATTTTTCATTGGCCCATGGTGCTTCCTTTTTTATATATATTTCTTGGCGGATAAAAATAGGAAAAAAAACAAGGAAAAAACTCGGAAAGAACCCTTTACTCAGAAAAACACAGGTAGCATATTGGGAAAGATACAGTATGAGTAGTCTTTCAGCTCTACAAAAATTCACTTCCATTTTATTATATATATTTATATATCACTTTTTTCATCCATGAACTGAAACAAGACACGGGTTATGACGGCTTTGACTTAGAATTTCTCTCATTTTCTTTTTAGCCGAAGAACTCTAAATTTGCTAAACTTTACCTCGTCTGTCTGTAAGACTGTTTCGGTAAATGGATTAATTAAAGAGATTTGTGACAAATAACATTACATTATATTGCATTTTTTTGGGTTTGCTTTGTGCGTAAATCTGACTGGAGATTTCGTTCTATTCCAGATAACTCGATTGAAGATTGACAGTAATCCTTTTGCAAAAGGATTTAGAGACTCGGGCCGAGTCAGGTGAGTAACAAGACTTGTACTTAAATTTGCCACAAATATTTCAGTTGGGTATAAGAATAGGTTGCCTAAAAATTTCGTGTTGACAAGATCAGCCACAAACCTGTATGAAGCGGTCTCCAACGGGGAATAGCAGGATGACCTCTTAATAAAAAAAACGATACACAACGCCCCTTCATGTCAAAATTGATTACTCAATGTATAGAATGTCGCTTAAAAATACTACGTACTTTGATTTTGGGGAAGAAACATGGATTTAAAATTACTTTAGAAATTATTTTTATAGTTCCGCTATAAGTGACCGTTGGATACAGGTGGAAAATATTGCAAAAAGGCTGGGTGACCACTTAATTGAAGGTCCATTTACCAACTTGGATATGCTTTGATATTGTGCAAAATCGATTAAAAAGAAGTTTTTATTTATTGTGTTTTTATATAAACAGGGATCCAATGGAAGAGATAATGCAAGCTTATTCTTACTTTAGACCAACCGCAGGAAGAACTTTACATTATTCAAACTTCAGGGGAAGAGATGAACAGCTTAGTTCCGGTGAGTCGACAGTATTTGGATCTCTTCTCCTTATATCGATCTGGTGGTTGCGTTTTTAAAACTGACCAATTCACAGTTTATTCCTTCCCATGACAAAAAACTCAGATCCCGATTGAAAAAAATGCCTCTTTAAAAGGTGTTTCTTTTACCTCCATTAAAGGCACGACTACAATCAGGAGACAACGGCAAGGAGTGTGTCTTCCGATTGCCCTTTCGACCACATTCAGAGCCGCATTGATATGATCTCGTCATGTTTATCTCTTCATTTTTATTATTTTTCCTTTTGGGCAGATCAAGGTTCTTGTTCCCCGCATGCATCAGTCCCTGTACCATCTCCTTATCAGAGTGTTCCTCTAAGTCCTACGATGCCGCCTCAGACACCAACATGTCATTCAAATACTGCTTTCTCTGCCTTCAATGCCTGCTTATCGTCTTTACCGCACGGCGCCATGTTACCTACTCAGTATCATGTGACACCCTACTGTTCCGCCACAGAAACGTACGGCCACATGCTCCACACAGCGGTGTCACCGTTTTCCACCCGCGAACCCAATGCTGTGGTCAGTCAATCAGATACGGGCATCCCACTTAGCCCAATTGTTACTCATCAGGCGAGTGGCTTTCAAGGAAATACGTATGCTTCTCCACATGCGTTCACGACACATACAATGTGAATTTCACGAGTCCTTATTTTCGTTGTGTACTTTTGATTTAAAAAGGTATTTTAGAAATCATCAGTTAGTTCGCTTGATATTGAACAAGCATCGATAATTCGAAATATTTTTTATGAGACAGTTGGAATAGTTTACCAGACTGATATCAGGTGTAAATATTGTAAGTTAAATCATTATAACAAGAAATTGTTACAGTTTCTTAGGTTACCGGCAAAACCTTTTAAAAATTCAAAGACAATTATTTGTGAATATGAATATCAGAATAAACCATATGTTGATTTTTGTAGTTTGGAATATCAATAAGGATTATTTTTGATACTGGGTGGAAGAGAGGAACCCAACAAATTTTGCCCTTTTATTTGTTCAGTCAGCGAGCTTACTAAAACTTGGAAAATGATATTTATTCAGAAATATTCCTCTTGAAATGGACCGGTCCCACATCTTACTTCAGACAAATTCTTCCGAGTATCTCCTTATCTTCGATGTCCGTTTTCTTTCAGAATTCAGACAACTCGAAATGTCATATGCCCGTGGTTGTTTTTGTTCTTTCAGCGGCGTGGTGCGTTCCTTGTTGGTTCTCATGCCACGGTCTTACATGACATTGTGAACAACTGCTGGGCCGGGTTTTCGCGCGGCAACAACAACCTTTAAACTGGCAGATCATTCTAAAAATTTCAGCTCTAAACTCGCTGTTAAGCGCAATATGACAAATGGGGTTAATAAGAGAATATGACATCATCATGCAAAAAATGAGCGTCCCTTTTACTGACAAAGGACTAACGATATCATCAGATCCCAAAATCCACGCCAAGCTGTGCTGATAAAAAGGAAACAGAAAACAAAGGAATAATAGAACCTCTATGACTAAGATGCGAGCCGCTCTTTTATTCCTCCGATGGCGATTTTGCGAGCTTTGGGAAACATCCGATGGGTTTATTACGGAGTCTCTGCGCAACTTCAGAATGATCTTTATGTACGCTACCGTGAAAAATACCCCAGGAAGCCATTGTGTTCCTATGATAAGCAGCAGGAGCGTTACCTTTATCCAGAAATCTGTAGCCACAACACCACAACTACGTTTATCATCTATTTTCGTGTCAATCGATAAGGCAAACCAGACACTAGTGAGTAACCCTAAGACCCACGAAAGGACCACAGCGCCCTTGGCAATATTTATAGTCATCTGTAAGAGAAAAATGAAACCAAGGATTGACTAAGAATTGAAACTACCGTCACCATTTTAATAAGCCCCCCTCCACTCTAATACCCTCCCCCTCTGTGAAAAACCCCTCTTTGATTAATCCCTCTCTAATAAGCCACCTCCTTCCAGCATAAAAAGTCGGAAGGTAATTGCTGTAATGTTCTTCATCAGTGATCTCGGTAGCGTCTCACTAAAAAATATGCTCGTATGAGAGTATGTTTTATTAATTACTACATCTAGACGACGAGAGATTATAGGCGACAACTCAAACTAACGATAATTAATCGCATTTTGAGTAAATTGTTAATAGGCCCCTCTCCCCTCTCTGACAATTTTCCCCTCTAGGTGGGGGCGAGGGGGGTCTTATCGTTAACGATATTAGGCGTCAGTTTCAATCGCAGCCTAGTGGCTGAGAAAGATAGAACATGGAATCGTGATACTCATTAGAATAAACGCTAATAAACGAGGTAGCCGTTTTGAGATCATGTACTGTGCGCAAAAACGTCAATTCTTTTAATTTTTTAAGCCCTTTATGAATGTTTAATTTGATGGCAATTTTTTAATAAAGATTCTCACAATATTTCTCTTTCATCAAATGAAGATGTCAAATCATCACTTTGAGAACTTTGACACACATTTTTAATAATTAATTTTATTTTAATTTACCTGTTTTTTCAGCGGGTGTACTACAGCCTGAAATCGTTCCAAGCTCATAAGCATTAAAGTTATTATGGAAACCGTTAAACTGCTCTGGACAATCATGAATATCCCTTTACAACCAGCACTTCCTAATAACTTCGGCCATTCGCCTTGCGAGGAATAATCCAAATAAACAGGTACAAACACGATGATGCGTAACACGTCACCCACAGCTAAGTTCAGGTTGAACAGATTGGCAACGTTGGCGATTCTCCCCTTTCGCAAAATCACCGCAAATAAAAGGAGATTTCCAAGGGCCCCGAACACAAAGACGTTAGATAGCCACGTTACTCGTATGATATGGCCAGTTGAGGAATTCATTTCGCCGAAAACTGAAGGTCTGCTCTTTTTTTACACCTGCAATGTAATTTTGAAATTTTAGAAGTCTTGGCTTGACTTGGTAAATATCAATATTCCTCTGAATAATACTCTTTTGCTTTCACAATACTCGCTTTTTCGCGTTAGTAAGTCTTCCTTTTTTTGAACCAACCCAAAATGCAAAAGACGTCCTTATAAGCCTTGAAGACTAAAGGTCGGAGATTTCAGTTCACGTCGTTTCAGTCACGTAGCAGAAGATGACTTTGTTACGAAATCGCTCTTCAGTACTCGTTTGTTAAAAGGTTCTCGGTGAACTTTGTATTGTATCTCTAGGCTTTCTTCTAATTTCCTTGAAAATAACGTCCTCGCTCATAACAAGACTTTCAGCGTAGTTTGGTAACTCACCTTGACGCGAATCTCAGATAAAAAACCACGAACGAAATCTTTAGTCACAAGATGAGTTCGCTCCTTCTCTCACGTTCACTGGCTTGTTATCTTTTTGTATTTCAACTCGGAAATGGAAATTTTGTGTTCTAACAACACTCCCTACAATTCTAATTGCTACAGCGGCGAATGATGATTGTTTGTAATCAAGTTTTCCTGATCTCTGTTCCAATGCAAAGAGGCTCGTGATTGTGTTTGACTGCAAATGCATCACAGTTTAATTTCATTCGTTTTATAATGAGGTCTAAATCAAACAGATTGGTGGTCGAGTTTCTACGTGTGGCAGATATGTCAATATTGTTTTCACTGCTGAACTTACCTGAAGAAAATTATACGCTCGTCATTGGTTCCTGTTGCATTAAGATAATTTGACAAATAAAACAATGGAGAACAAACAGAACCTGGTGTGAATTTAAAGTCAGTCGCGTCATCAAAAAATTGGCCATAATTAACAAAAAACCTTCCCACGTAACTGTATTTTCAAATTTGTTTCAGTTTTATGATCTAGTTCATTTTTTATGAAGGTATTAATGCTCTGCATATCGAAGGTTGCATTTTATAAATAGCAGTGCCATTATATATTTCACCGAGCAATAAACATTAATTCATAATTACATTTTTGGTCCCTTTATGATCTACCTGCCGAGGAAATAATTAAAGGAACTGTTGGTCACCACGTGAATAATCATTGCCAAAACGAGACACCATTTATCCCAAGTTGTAATCACATTTCTTAATTTATTTTTCGAGTAAGTATGATTTATTTTTTTCTTAATTACAACTGAAGAAAGAGAAGAGGTGTAGAAAATATAATTGTAAAGCGTAAAAAAAAAAAAAGAACTTGATGAGGAGCCTTGTTATAAATAACGAGCGTCCCTTAGGGCAGGTCTTTTATTTTGATGGGAATATCTCTTGTTTTCCCAAGGCTTTCTCTCAATCTTACAATTTCAATATCAAACGCAAAGCCTGATAAACATCTATTACTTTATGTACGTAAGAGCCACTCCGTAAAATGTTGACTTTCCTACGTATATTTATTGTGCGCGATAATAACTACGACCACAGTACCGGTTCTAGATTTAATTTAAAATTTCATAAAGGCCAGATAAGAAAATAAAATGCCTTTAGTTTATATTTGACATCTCTGGAATCCATATACAGCTATATTTACAGTATGAATATCAACCATTATTTTTTCAGGTCACCGACAGATTTCTATATATATTGCATTATGTATTTGCGTTTGCAGTTAATTTTTCAGCGTAGAAAAATACCGCAGATAATAACAGCATCTGAAAAAAAGAATTAAGGGATAAAACTGTCTCAAAGATAATGGTATCACATTGGACCGAGAGCTGTTTTAACTATTAAGTTTACTGCAGCATACATGTTCCTGTATTCCTTTTTTGGTATTCCAGTTCCAATATCCCAACCACAAAATTAAAATTTTTCATATGAAGGTGCTATGTATGAGCTGTTCTCCTTTATGGAGTGTGTCATACGAACTGCTTTCATCCTTTCAATCATCTTGTGAGATGTCTTCTTTCGTAGCAGTCCAGCAGGTTTTCTGCCTTCTCGTGTCTATTGGGCTGTAATCAGGAGGCGGGATCAAATTAATATGAGCGAGAGTTCCTCTTCTCCTTGGGCTATAACGTCCAAGTTCTCCTACTTTTTCATCCAAATCCTGCTCGCCAGTAGAGGTCTTAGCACTCAGTCGGCTTATGACTGCCAAACCCAGAGAAACGTGACCAACTGCTTTAAATTTACCCGACAGCTTGGTGCTTTGCATTAAATCCACGTTGGTCTTCGATGACTGTGAGTTGTAGGGATTACCACGCTTCGGCTTTGGTGATAATGGAGCTGTAGGAACATACTGCGTTGGACTCAAAAGCGATCCTGAGTCACCGTGACTAAAACTATTAGGAAAAAGAAGATTTGCAAGGCTATCCTGACTAAAATCACTCAGAGATCTCCCCCTAGTTTTAGGAATTATATCATCAGCATCGACAGCTGCATCATCGTCTTCAAGGGACGTTTCCTTGTCATTTTCTTCTGTCTGAATTTTTATTTCCTGGTTAAATCCCTCGTGTAAAGGATCGTTCTCATTCAAGACTTGTGGGGTACAAGATTTTAAGTTTTCATCTGTTTTCCTACGACTATTTTCATTAGGGCTGCTGTGGGTTCTTCGAAAGAGCACTTTCTCCGGCACCGAAAGAAAACATGTTTTGCTTTCCTTCTCAGAGATGTCGTGACTATTTTGAGAGCCAACACTAACACCATTTGATATGGCCGTGTTGGCCCACTGCGAAATAGTTTCTGGCGATTTTGCTCTTCTTAAGGGAATGGGACTTTTGGACACAATGGGAGGAAGTTTAGAGGTGAATTGTGACGAGCAACCAGAATTGCGTCGAGGAAAATCTGAGGGAATTCCACGCGCGTGCTCTGATCCTCTGCGCCTGCAGGATCTTGGAGACAAAAATAACTTGAAACCGGCATCGAGAGTCTCTCTTGTTCTCCTTAAGTCGAGCAGTTCCCGCTGAAGTTGTTTTTCCTCTTTTTCATACCTTGATAGCTGCTGACAGAGCGTGCGATCTGCCGCCTGGTTTAACTTCTGTGCACGATTGTCGCTCTCAGTTATTGTTAAGGAGCCACTTCTCTTCTTTCGGTTTGACTCACTCATTTTTTTAACCTGTGGATTTGACAATAAGTTTCAATTTAAAAACAACTTCACCTAGATAGATGGAAATCAAAGAGAAATTTGAATGAAAACAAGATATTCCGCTCAAATAAAAGAACTTCAGGAAGAAGATCAAGAACTTAGGAGGTGGTTTTCGGCTTCATTTACTTTATCAACTTATTATTATTATTATTATTATTATTAGTATTATTATTATTATTATTAACGAATAATACACTACATATTTACAAGACTACCCTTTAATTGTAACTTGACGAGAAAGAAAAAAACAGGAACGAACTAAGTGACCCTTACGACGAAGAAAACTGATTTAACCAGAACATGAGCAAATTTGAAAAAAAGATAACTTAAAGTAGAGCAAGTTTTGACAACGTTTTATTATATTTCTTGTGCATCTGCGTATTCACGCACACGTCGGTATTTTAACACTTGTTGATTAGTTTTTTCGTCCATCTTCCGTGTCCTTTTCAGCTTTGCCAAATCTGTATCCTTGCCTTCTCTAAGGATAACATGTTATTTCATATTTGCATGTTATGTAATATTTTAAAAAGCCCACTCAGATTTATGAATATTTCTTCTCTAAACGATCCGTACAGTTCGACTGTGCACACTTTACTCGAGACTTTTTGTTGAACACCAAAGCAGACCGCGACCGCTGTCTACATCTCAGTTTGATTTTCATGATCAGAAAGAGGCTGATGAAAGTGCAAACATTAGGTTGGTATCTCGGTGAAGTCAATTCATTACAGAGTCTGCTGGTAGATTCAAACGAATGAATGACTAATTACAAAAGGAATTAATCTGACCAGAATAAATAAAGAACCACGTTGCAATGCATAGTACCCTTTGCAAATCTCAATTGACAAACAGACGTCCCCAGTACACTAATCTCCCTTAACGTTTTCGCCCTGTACGTGTACAGTTGTACAGCTAAATAGCTAAAAGAATCGTCAGGCATTCAAACAATTCTTAAACAGTGTTGACCACTTTAGCGATGGATAACAATATCAAGCTTTTAACCAAGGTGAAGAAATTAAAACATAAAGGAAACGATCCATCTTCATGAATCAAGTAATACACAAGTTAATTACTTAGTAATTTCAGCCGTCAGTGCAGAACATTGATCCTAGATTCCATCATTTTGGGTTTCTATCAAAGTTTCCTTGTTCGTTAAGTTGATATTGCGCGTCAACTTTCGGAAGCGAGCAGCAGCCGCAGTCAATAGTTTAATCACGTTATGATTGATATGAATGGCACAGTACTTAAAACCATTCAATCAAGGCATATGAACCATGGATTTAGATTATTAAAAACAATTCTTTCTACATTCACCTGTAAATACTTGACTAAGGCGTCAACGACATTTGGTTCTCCAACTGAAGTCGATATGAACAGTATCTCGCGGTTTTAAATGGTCTTATATGCTACATGGTACATAACAAAGATAATTACTAACTATACGACGAAATTATTTGTGTCGTCAGATTCTGGGACAAAAGAAGCTCTCAGTCTGGGTCTGTTGTTTACAAAGAATTGTTATTTAAATAAGGTTTTGGTGCATTTGTAAATGCTCTAAATTTTCTTCTTTTTCGTTACCCAAGTTTTCACGAGTCGTCCGCTTTGCCATTTTGGGATTCTGTCACCTGACGCCTTGTGACATTAACCCTAGCTATCTGTACACAGATTAAACATTTTAATTGATTTAAAGTTCAGTCAGCATCATTACGTTCTGCGTAAATAATCATTTTAAAACTTTCTTTTGAAAAAATTGCACTAAAATTATTAGACCTCTGGAGGCGTCTTATTACTCAGAGGCAATTAAGATCAGCCTACTAAAAAGAAAGCATTCAAGTCTTCCAATATAATTGTACGGGTGTGACGGCAATTAGAAAAGACTGGTAATCGCTGTTCCTGGGAATGAATGAAGACAAAACGAGCGCTTTCTTTGATGGGGCCAACGCAATGTCAATTTAGCTGAATTAGAACTGAAGTGATATATTCAATGGATTCTCGACTTTAATTGTCACATAGCTGCTAAAATAAAGTACTTTAGATAAATGGGAATTTGTCGAACTCAATTTTAACTTAATAAGCTGAGAAAAAAAATATTTTTTTTGCACAAGAAAACAACAAAATAGTTGAAGAGGTTGTTAAGTCGCCCATACATGCTACTTCTTCTTTCTCCAGATGGACTAATTAAAAATGATAAAGCCGCATTTCCTGTAGTCCCCTTTGAATGATTTCATCTTAAAAAATATTCTTTACGTGCTCCACCGACTTTGATTAACATCAGAGACATATTGTCACGAAAGCTAAAGAGGTTACAAATGGTTTTGATATCAGCCTGTGGACACCACATCAAAGCTCCTCTTGTCAGTGCTTATTGACTTCTTTTTTTACACAGGAGAAAAATATTCCATACTGAACGAACGGTACGTAATGCATTGGGGAAGGATTAAGTTTTAAATCGACCTCACCTGGTTTTCTTTGCACTCTACTATTGAGTAAATTTTTTCAAATCAAGTAAGTATAATTTTTTTATTGCATAACGGTGACATTTCAGACCACTGGCCCCTAAAAATAAACCATCAAATTATCAAATGGCGGTATACACAGTTATACTTGCCAGTGAGAGGGTTAATTACTTGTTATTTGGTCCAGCTCAGATTTGCCATCCTGTATACTTACCTTTTTATTGCATGGCGGTGGGGAATCAGGATAAGGCTTAAAAATTGGAAATTGCATACGAGCGACGAAATGCAGTTTTATCAGTAAACAAGAACACTCGGCACAATGATGGATATTCCCTTTGATGGAAACAACACAGATGATTACGTTATTTTCCTTACTGAAACTTTGCTAAAAGATTTTAAATTGTTCGTTTCTTGGTTTTGTTTTCTTTTTGTTTGTTTTTGGTTTCTGAAGGTGACGATGAAAGTTCTTAGATTTTGGATTATAGAATGTTACGTAACCACGTAGACTTGCAGAGAATTCATTGTCAAAGGCCGGGAACTTGAAGACCTTTGGTGGTTGGAGACCTTATCGCTCCCAAAATGCTAGCAGCACACGTGGCGTTGAAATCTTAGTGAGGAGATAAATCAAGTGCTCAATGCTGGCCACCCACATTATGTAAAGTCGTGCAAAATTGGAGAGGAAAGACGAACTTTCACCATAACCAGTGGAAAAATACAAAATTAGGAAAAAAGAGGCGTTGATTTCAAAACGGTCTGCATGGGATTGCTGTGGTAATCTTTCATGTCATAAAAGTGTACAAAGATAATCGTAAATTGAATTAAAGTTTAATAATGTTTTGGTGTTTTAGATAAGTGTAATAAACAGTCTTATCACCGTCACCCGATGTAGCAGCAAAGCCTAGTTAGAGGTAATATCCATCTATCATTCGCGACAGAACAGATACAGATGAAGTGGTGGCACTGATAAAATTATATTTAGCCTCTTCCTCCGGCCATTATCACCGCTAGTGATAATCTCTTCCAGGGCTACACCTTCGCACTTGTCTAAAGCAACATACGCGTTCGGAGCGGGCCAGTAAGTCTCGGACCAATCGAAATTAATAACTGCCGGGGGATTATTGATGCCAATATGTTATGTTGCGCATTTGCGCGCTCGTATTAGGAAACGTATTCTTAACCTAAATTCACGACAAACTCGATAATCTGCAGTAGGTATTTGAATATAACATTATCGATGACGTCCCTTCAAATTAGAACGCTCAATTACTACACAGAGGCAAAACTAAACAAGAGTTTAAAAAAAGAAAACATCAACAGATCTAACACCCGTAGTGATCTCTCTGAGTGTTCCTACATCAGGAATAAGGCGCTCTTTGATTAGTTGCAAATCAATTACCACTTTACCTGTGCAAATCTGTCCTCACTAAGGCTTCCGAGTCAAAATTAAATGATGTTATAACGGTGAACTTCAAATAAGTTTTTTGGGCGGCTGGGTATGTTTTTCGAAGTCTTCTGCAACGTAAGATTTCAGACTTCTGGCCCCAAAAAATAAAGCATCAAATTATCAAATGGCGGCATGCACAGTTAGACTCGCCAGTGAGAGGGTTAATTACTTGTTATTTAGTCCAGCTATTTTCCATCCTGTATACTTACTTGATTTTTTAGTACTTGAACGTCGTCCAAGGGAGGTGTGATTAACTCGAGAAGAGCTACATCATTCCTTAGAAAGA